AACCGTCCTCTTCTGGTGAGATCGACCTTCGAATCTCTTCTTTATACACTTTCATGCGAAATAAAAGTCTAAACAATAAAGTTACTTCAGAAGATCCATCGAAATGCAGTTACTTTTCATGTCTAAAAAAATTTATACAACAGCGGGCTTATGGCTCACTAAATTCCTCGATGGAACTGTTCTGAAGGAGCTCGAAAACATTAACGATTAATGAATAATTCTAACAAAAAGAGCGTGGTGGGAGTTAAGCGAAGGACTTTGAAAATTCTGGTGCTGCAAAATAAAATATTTTTTTACATGTATATCTAGAGTTTAGACTTATTCTTTCTTTATATTCCTCCTCTAAAAGCATATTGTTCAATCCAAATTATAAATAAATTTCTTTTGTTTTTCATCTGAATGTCCTGTCATTATTGAAACAGATATTACCGCTCCTTAATGCACTTCCCATTAAATAAAGGAAGAATAGATAAGAAGAAGGCCAGTGAGAGGAAAAGATGATACTTTAGTAAGAATAAGGAGAATGCATAAAGATTCAAACAGCAAATAAAAGTGGTAAAAACAATTAGATAAAAAGGATAATTTAGGCAAAAGCAAATGAGAAAATGGAAAATATGAATTGATAGGTCGTGAAACAGAGCTAGAAGTAGCCTAATAGGAAAGGTGTATAGTTATTCAAAATACTGAAGAAAAGAAGAGAAACTGAGAAAATTTGGGTTAAACCTCTATAATAAGTCTCACCGGTGTGTTGCCCTCGTTAAGAAAAAGTGTGATACACTCCTTGGCCCTAGCCAGTCGAACCTTGGCGCGGGCTTCTGTATCCTCGGCAATGAGTAGAACGTGTAATCGGTCATTAAGATGCTCCCAATTCGGTCGGCCGAGATTCATCTCTTCCTGAGTCATAATAAGGCATGATAATTGTGGGAAATTCATCAGTCTCTATTCAGAAATGGAAAAAATCTATCATTTTAGATATCTCTGTGAAAACACGACTTACAGAAATAAAAAATCCTAAAACTTCTCAATTAAATTTCTGTTCAGTTTCATGATCCAATCAAAAAAGCTAATAGAAGCTAAGCCTGATTGAGACCTGTTTGATTAAACTATCAAAAATATACATACGGATTGTAATGTTACGTGAGAATCAAATATTCATTATCGACTATACTGGACACCTGAGGCAAAAAAAAAATAAGTCAAGGATTAACAATCAGTGCAAACCAAATACGTTTTAATCGAACGCATGAAAGCCAAAATGGTGGACCTTAAAACATAGAAGTGCTCACATCCAAATTTAGTCAAAAGGCACAACACAAGAAAAAAACAACTTTAATGAAATTTTTCTCAATTAACGCGACTTTGAAATTTGTTAAACTTTTTGATAAGCCTCATATGTTTGCTGAATTTTACATGTTAAAAGATGAAATAGGAGAATTCATTTCTCCTTTCTGTCAGCGGCTCAACCTCTTGCCTCTAAGTTATCAATCAAATCCGTATAACTTTATTCTTTCTATACGTCCATCTGTACATTCATTGTGCTAACCAGTCTGATTATATTAATGGCCTCTTCCTTAGGCTTCGAGTCAGCTTTGCAGTAGTCGGCACATATGGTTTGTCTCCTAT